TATTTATTTTTTCAGAGCACTGCTTGGAAGAGATCGAGTACCCGCCGACGCTAGAAATCAAAACATCTTGTAACTACTGTGATAATCAAATTTTTGGAACTAACTTACTTGGTGATAATCGAAAAGACAAAAAACTTCGAAGTGTGTGTAGTGGTCTGCCGTGTGGCGCCATTAACGACAGATTGGTCCCGCAGCAGGTTGTTATGAACGATTACAAGTATCCACATCTCGTTTTCGGTCAAATCGTACGTTTCGGTTGGACTCGGATATAACTTGCTCCACACTTGATTGATCGGACTTGAATACCAATGTGTTACCAAGGTAGTACATGTTTGCCTAGTTTCGGTTGGTACGCTCAGGTAGAACGTCACAGTTACTCGGTTAGCTTGATCCGTCGGTTCAAGCTTCCATCGACCACTCCATCGTACAACGGTAGATCTCTGCCGTCGGTCAGTTTTCCTTGAAGCAGGTCATTGCTGCCCCCCCCCCCTCCGACCACCTGCAACAGCATTCGTTGAAACCTCTCTTCCGCACACAGCATCTCGTATTCTCTGACTGGCGCTGGACATTACACTCAACCAGAAGACACGATATCGATCTAAAACCCAGACCGTCGTTACCTCATCAAGCTTCTGTCATGTGAAGGACCTCTAGATTCCCTTTGAGCCAATTTGCGCAAGAGCCTTCTGCTTATTCTTCTTCTTTCCTCCTCTGGACCATTGCCGCCACTCCACAATGCACGCCCAAACCCCATTGTTGACCCAAGCGACCAGCCAGCACGCTGTACCGAGTGTTAATGCTACATCTCGTCGTCTCATGGCTGCTATCGCTGTTCTGGTGGCGCTTGCGGTTGTAGTAACGAACTTGACTACCAGCGATACCGGTCTGCGAATCGACAGTGAAATGCTCACGCAGGCTTCCGAGACTTCGCTGGCTGATGCACCGTCGCTACGGCTCCATTTCATGCTAAAACGCAGCTCCATGGACATGTACGGATACTCCGAGTTCGACGTACTCGCCAACCCCGTCGTGTCTGCCAGCAACAACTCCATTTTCTACGACGGCTACGTCAAGTTCGAAGACAACACTACGTCCCATACCTTTATGTTGGTTGATGGTGTTGCCTATTACGCAATGTCAAACACGGACGATGCAAGAATATCCGAGACAGCTCGATGTTTGTCATCCAGCTCGATACCGCCGCTCAACTTCATCCTATCTGCCCTCAACAACGCTATGCCGATCAACAGTGCAGTTGCGGATGATGATACTGTCGCTTGTCCTAGAGGAAATCTCCTTAAAACTACACTCGGCGGCTCGACCTTCGTTATTTGCTCGCTGGGTTCGGATGGTTTCACTATATACGGGAGCGATCTCGATGTCAGCGTCGAGTATCTGGCTAATTCTGTGGATATTACGGCTCCCGTTTTGGACGAGGAGCAGGCGAGATCTTGTGAGAAGGTTGTTGCTGCATCGTCCGTCACTCCATCCACCCTCGCTCTACTCACGGGACATTCACTTACGTATCCCGTAAACACTCAATCTCGGAACCTTAAAGCTAAACCGAATGTGAAGCTGCAACCATCGTCATGCGCTTGCAAATCGACTTCACGTCCATGCATCTTTTTCCACGGCATGGGTGTAGCTACAGAGAAGAAAGCATTACAAACTTCCTTTAAAAACTACTGGGGAGATCTTACCGACAATGCGCCATGCTGCTCGTCGATCCAGTATGCTATGCTAGATACCGTCAACTATCCGTGGACAGATGCCGGACTACAGCAGAAAGTATGCAACTTCGCATTGTCGGTAAGCAACACGAGCAATGCGTCGGCCAAGACGATCGCGGACACCATCATCGTCACGCACTCGATGGGTGGCCTTATGGTAGGCGGAGCCTTGGCCAACCGTCGATGCAAGTTCGGTCCTAGCACGACATGGGTAGCACTGAGTGCGCCGATGACAGGGAGCATTGGCTCAGACTACCTTCAAGAGACTTGTAGCGGAAACGCTGGATTCCTTCGGTTGGTGGCGTTGCTCATTGGCCGATGCCCTGCCAATAACGCTGTTAAGGCCATGACGTACGAAAGTGATCCACGCACCACACCTGCGCTGAAAGCTGCGTATATATCGGCACAGACTGCGTTCAAGAAGCACGTCGGCGCCGTGATGTGCAGCAACAACTATGACGGTCTGTTTTCGATATGGCAGCCCGTTTATCAGCTAGCGGGTTCCATGATTCCACACAAGTCCAAAGAAAACGACGGCATCGTCGAGTTTAAGAGCTGTGCTGGAGGTCTACCTACGTCTGAGTTCGGCAGTAGCTATGCCGATCCATTCTACTTGACCAGCCTCAACCACGTGGATACGACGTTCCGCAATGGAGACGGATTTTTCTCAACCTCAAGAAAACCTATCAAGTGGTTTGAATGCCTCTTGTAACTTTACTGTACGATCAAAATATTGTTTTACTAAACTTGTTGAGTTGGACGCAGAGATCGCAAATGGTAAAAATAATCATATCTGTTCGGGTAAGATCTGGCCGTAACCACGGACGGATATGTTTTTTTTAACCGAGATTTTTCCTTGTATTTAAACGGACCAGTATGGGTAACCGACTTCCACGCTCGGTTGGTTACGGCTGACCGACTCTACTGGAAACTGGGCATTGCAGGGGTTTCCAACCTTTTACAGGCGTTTATGGGGGGGGGGGGGATCTCGTACTGCTCGATTTGCCTTACGAGCGAATGCATTTAGCATATTATTCAGTAAAGAAACGTCGGAAAAATAAACAATGTTAACACTCTGACCCTAAATCAAAAGTTACATGTAGATTTCGGTTAGCCTGTCACACTCTTCGGCCCAGCCACGGTCGTCCGAAAGACTCGCACGGTTGGTCATGATCATCCGAATCTTGGCACAAGGGACTTCGGGCGGGTATTGTTCACCGGAAGTTTGCGTTTACGACCTCTGATCGGAAGTGAGCGATGGCAGATTATTCAAATTTATGATTTTCTAGCCCGAAGACGACAGGTTTGATTAGCTCGATAGAGACCAAAAATACTATTATTCGATAGTTTATAAAATCATGGCTTTCTGTTTAGTTTTTGTAGGTTGATAACTAAAGCCAGCGAGTACATAACTCCACGAAAGCGCGCTCAAATTTGGGGCGAAAAAGTTTGTTTTAGCATTTCACTGGAAATTTTGCGAAATTATATTAAAAAAAAAGTTTACCAGAGCCTCACTCCTACTTAGTGATCACTTATACAAAGGCGTTATCATCGTAAGCAATTTTAACACATGCACTCGATTATGTGAGGTTTTACTGCCTCATAAGCTGATATGCAACAAATCACAAAAAAAATCCGAATCCAAAAAATATTAATCCAATCATCACTCACCACACATTTAGGTATGGAACTGGCATAGAAAGCGAGGGATTTAGGGGCAAGCCATTAGGTTGCGAACCTTCCAGCGCTCGGAAAAACAGTAGCTGCGAATAATTCCCCTCTATGGGGGGAGGGGGTCGTAGTAATGTTGACTTCTGGTGCAGCACTTGTGCAGTAGAGTCGACGGCGACCACTCCAGGAGCTCCATAGATCCATAGAAATCAGCACGCGAAACAGGAGTTTTGTCGTTGTTGAATCAATACATAAGCCTCAATATTTTATTCGATAATATCGTTGTAGCGTATTAGTGTGGTGTTAAAAAAACCAAATCCTCATCATTTGGTGGGAAAGAGAAGCATTGGGTTTAAAGATATCCTCGGATTTTCTTTGTTCTGGCTTGTATGGTTTGAATATAATTGACCTTAGAGAATACTTTACACAAGCTGATACCCCTTGGCTGTTGGCAGGACCATGGGAACGGTAGAGCACGCACTGCCTTTTTTGGGGCCCGGCGAGATCCGATCCGATGTTTGATATTCAGGTATGTGAGTGTTCATTTTATATAGTGTCCGAGACGTAGATTTTCTTGAGTAGTGCTAGGTCTCTCAGCATGCCTCGTTAGTGTGAAGTGTGAGGCCTTGCCCTCCAAAGTCTGTGCCGATGTCGCATAAAATGTTATAATATAGATTCTTCTTGGTGATTATACACTCATAGATGTGGTACCGTCTGGATACCAGTAGTTGGGTTGACTTTTTTACTGGCCGTATTCTGCTCTGACCGGATCCTATGAACGGAACTTATTTTTGGCGTTGTTCTGCGTGACCTGATCTCTGAACGGAAGAA